TCGGTGAATCGTTAATCACCCGCGAAACTGGAACGCGCGGAGATCAGCGACGCTCGAGAAAATCGGAAAAATCGGTCGGTTTTTCCTCGACGGACAACCGCCGGCGGTGTCGACGATGCTTTTCGAGCACGTAGCTGTTCGACATTCGCGAAGCCTGCGTAATTCAGGCCGTAAATGAGTCGGATGCGAAACCAAGAGGAGGGGGATGGAGCGCGGCTCTCCGGTCGACCGTGAGAATGTGGTCGCGCGGGAGAATCTTGGGATAGCTCCCTTCGAGGTGTTTCGTAATAAGGGCGATCGTGGGGAACGGAAGGATGTACCCGGGAAGGGTTGCGGAAGACCTTCCCGTTCTGTCGAGTTTATCATGCTCTGACTTCGCCGAGGCGATCGATGGGCCCAAGCGCGTTTCTCGATTTGACGCGATGATAAACGGGAGTCGTTATTGTGCCGAAAGCGAGAAGGATATAGGAAAATCTAAATTACTTATGTTACAGTTATAAACAGAATCGTAACTTGTTCTCGTGAAATTCGTAAGAACTTGTGAGTACACGGAAAAATATAATTTTGCTCTTTTAGCAAAATCGTCGCTACTGCATATTCGTAGTGACATCAAAAAAATTTAGTCGATGTAACTAATTTTACAAATTATTCGTTATCAGAGCAGAAGTAGTTTCGTTGCCAGGATAGAAAAAATTTGTTGAATATATTTATTCTAAGAATCACGTTAATTTGCTATTGATGCCAAATAATGTATTATATCTTTAGCAAATTTATTTGCTATCTGCAAAACTGCAACTGTTTATATAAATCCATCATGGTTCTTATAACAAAATAATTTGTAGATTCAGCAAATTATATCCAGCAAATAGTGATTAGTACTTTTAGCAAATCTTTTTGCTGTTCATATAATAACGAAAAGAGTTTGCTAGACCAGCAGAAAATTTGCTAGGCCAGCAAATTATTTTTCTCCGTGTATATCTACAATTCTATATGTATTATATGTCCTACGATCACTCGTAAATATCTACAATTTTACGTAACTTATGATATTTACAAGTGTTACAACGTATAGTACGCATAAAATTATAAATCTACTCATAAGTTTTTACGAATTTTCTTCTTATGAGAATAAGTTACGAGACTTACGATTCTGTTTAGAATTGCAACATACTAATAATTCACGTGGCCATAAATTGAACTTTTGCAATATAGAATATTTGATCTCTTTATAAATTATTTTTCTTTTTATAAAAGTTATATTCAGATTTTTTATAAAAAAATTTTTTTTTAAAGTTATGCTGATTTTTGTATTATATTTTACATGGCATAGCGTTTTGAGTGAATTTTCATAATTTTTTTCGTATTTCTTGCTTATTCCTGCTTTTTCATTCTAAGTAATGAATATGTCATGTGAATCATGACATATTCATAAGGAACGTAATCTTTCTAAATCGACTAGTGTTAGTCGTTGCCAAATTTATATACATCTATTCACCTGGAAAGGCCACTAAATTTCGAGAACATACCGAGTTGAAATTTTGGTCCTATGTTAAATCTTAAATCCTATAGCGCAGTAGGAGCTATATTAGCGAAAACATGTTTTAATGAACTGACAAAGTACATGTGTAATTCCTCTTCCTCTCTTCCTCTCTTCCTCTCCTGAATCGTCGGGAATATTCAAGCGAGACGTAATGTTTTCTGCCAACGTTGAAATCTTTCGAGAGAGATGGAACTAGAGTTTCCAATCCCGAACACAATATAGAATTTCAAGATTTCGGGATTTTTTGGGTTCGATCCCGAAATCCTGAGAATATATATGAGGTGAAAAAAAGAATATTCATAGAATGATAGAATTATTTTACTTACATCCCGAGCAGCACATATTAAATAAAATTTCAATAAAAATAGAAAAAACAACTTACATTATAGTAATGATTGCACAAACTTTGTGCAAAAACGTTATAACTAAAAGTTAAAGCTTTGTGATGAAAATAGAGATAATTTTCATTTCTTCTTTTTATTTTGGAAATACCTCAGAAATAATAAAATACAAAAATGGATTTTAACCTGGCTGATAGTCTACTCGCGAAATTTAAAATAAAAGACTCCATTAATATTTGAAATAAAAGTAATATATAGAATTAGATTTAAGATATATAGCACATATATCTCTTTAGAAAATTCTCTAGAATATCAGCAATAAATAATAATTATTAAAGCAAAATTTTTATAAAACATAAAAATGTTACATAGACAATTTTTATAAAACATAAAAATGTTACATAGACATATAAATACATAAAATGATACATAAACATATAAATGTTACATAGACATTAAGCATCGAATTTTGCAATCCCGGGGATCCCGGGATTGGAAATTCCAGATGGAACAGATCAATAGTGTTTTACGGTGCTGAGACGCGTTATGCGTGAATCGATAGATATAGGTGTATACTTGAACGAAAGAAAGTCGCAGTCTAATGGTGCCAATCATCGCGGTCGCGCGCGTAAAAGTTGATTAGGAGGCGAGCGATTCTTTCCGCCGTAATCGGCCGTATAGAGCGCGTCGTATGCGGGTACCCGGAAACGCCGTTCACACAACGTCGCGGGGAGATAGAGAGAGGAAGAAAAAGAGAGAGAGAGAGAGGGGGGAAGAGAGAGAGAGAGAGAGATCAGTACTATGATTATTAAAATAATACACGTATACTTTCAGCAACATTGTTAGCCGTAATGGCGGGTTTCGCAATCGCGCGCGATCTCGTGGATGCGGTGAGCGCGCTTTCTAAAGAATATGTGCTCTACTCGCGCGGCGGGCGAATTGGCATGCGCGGAGGTAAATCGCTTTCGTAAAAAGGGCGTACGCGGGAGCGGGAGAAGGCACCGGGCGCTGTCCCACTGCCTGTCCCGCCGACGGGACGGATATCTTCATCTCCGTGCGATCACACGGGGGAGAAGAGAAATCGCGCGCGCCGGGCCGCCGATGTGCGACTTACGTGCGTACCTTCGCTTTCACTGGTACTTTTTATCGGCGTCGATATATCGAATGAGCGTAACGAGATGACATGGCGGAACGTGATGGCAGATCGGCTTTCCCGAGGGGACGGAATTCCCCAGGGGAGAAAAAGAAGAAAATGCAGACAAAAATTTCACGATTGTGCAGAAAATATTTTTTTGGAATATGCTAAGCGGATTATATGTTTTGTGCCAACCTTTTGCAAATCCGTTTGGTGTCTATTGTCCTGAAAAACTGCGGAATGTGTAAACTGCAGAATATGTAACTTTTTGCGGTGGTAGCGCGGCCGTTTTCTTTTTTTCTTTCTTCCTTTGATCTTCTTTATTTTCTCCGGAGCAAAGAAAGGTGACACGGCAGGATATTGTCTCAATGAAAGGCCGTCGTTTTAATGAAAGGCTGCTGATACCTAAACGGCGCCGAAGGCGACTACTACTACGAAAAATGCTTGCCATGTAGCCGACGCTTTGTTCGCAATATAGAGACAGTGAAGCTGTGTCAGGACCTTTCAGCGCCGTGAACAACGATTTGTGAATAACCAATGCAACATGCGCCGCGTTGAATATTGTAATTCGCACTTAATATTCCGGAAAAAAAAACTTATTCATTTCATTCATTGTTTGTGCCACATCGGCGGGAAAGTTTTTGTGCTTGTTCGCGACTATTAACATATTTTCCAACAGAAATTGTTAATTATGCGTAGAGTTACCTTTGACGGTAACAATCCGTACAATGCCAGAAAACTCATCGCGATTATGTGCGCTTCGGCTTGACGTCTATAATAAGATGGCAAATCGCTCAGATCGAAATTTAGAAAGATTCCCGGCGTGGCGTGCCGGGTGAGCGATCTACAACGACGGTCACACAAGTTGCAACGGTCGATAAAGAGAATGAATCGTGCGATCCATGGATCACCGTCGGCTTATACTGGGCGCCACCATGTACTGTTCTCTCCCAGGTTCTCCCAGGTTGACCGTGGTATTGTAACAGCGTTACCTGCTGCAGGACACATAGCTCGCCAAACTCACTTCTGCTCCCTCAATAAAACACATAATATTTCCATTCGACCGCAACTTAATAATTAATTGTGCATTTTGCTAGTGTTAAACGTAAAATTTTGTCGTCACACTGTTTTACGTAAAGTGCAAATATGTTTTGACAAATTATTAATTTAGATTGACGGAAATATTCTCTCTCTCTTATATTCTTATCATTTCAACAATTCAAACTCGATTTGATCCTTCCAACGACGTAATTTTCATATTACTCCTAATTAACAAGATATTAACAGAGGCTGCACCCACACACGTGATGGCGTAGTAAACGTCTCACAGGCGCCTAATAAAACTTATAATTGTTTTGATTAGGTAAAAATATACGTGGAACGATCGAAATAAATAATTAATTATGGTTAAGCAGTAATAGCAGCTGCAATGCTGTCGCCTCGTTTTTGACAACATTCGGAAAAAAGACATGGTAGTGATAACTATATATATGTGACAACTACACGAGCTCTGTATGTATAATTAAGGCATATACTTTAATAAATTGTTTTATAATTATTACAACTAAAGTCAAATAGTTAAAAGAATTATATAGTTATTAATTCCTGTAATTATTCAGCTTTAGATAAAATAGATACGTAATAATTTACTATAAACTACATACACGTTAATTCTACATACAGAACTTGTATAATTATACACATGTTACTTATACACATTGTATAATTATACACATGTTACTTATACACATAGTTGCTATCACCACGCCTTTCTTTTTTATATATTGTGTATATACCTGCTATTTCTTTTTTTCTTTTTTGTGAACAATAAGTCATTATTATTGTTAACTACACCAAAGAGAACTAATTTCTCTATTCGTTCATGATATGAATTTTCTATTCAAAGTTATTGACGGAGAAAGGTTTCAAAAGAACGTCAAGATGGAGGATGCAGGGTCAGTTGATTTCATGAGAAATGCTTTTATTAACAAACACAAGAGGGTAATAATAAATAATCGTGCCGCGCGGGAAATAAATAAGTCGACGATCGCGCGTCGGAGCAACGACGCTCTTGCGTGGTCCGCGTCGATGTCAGACGATCATCGTGATCACCGCAATCAATATCCTCTCCGAGTTATCCTCAACATCATCCACGCGTTGCTGCATCCGAAGAGGAGTAATAACGGCAAACGGCTTGTCGGTCTCGTGGACGATCTCACCGGACGAATTTGAACGTCGATCCGCGGGGATCAGTGTGAGAGAAATCTCTCGATCTCGGATTTCCACAAACTTGATTGGAAATTTAATTTGGCCCAATTAAATTCCCGATAAGTTAACGAATCCGGGCGACACAAGCGAGTCTCGTGACGTGACTCTCGGATTATAGCCGACGCAAAGCCGACAGTCTTGGAATCGTGACAGGGGCAGGGAGAGGACAGCTCTCTCTCTCTCTCTCTTTCTTTTTCTCTCTTATTAAAGAAACTGACGGTGTCTCGTCAGCGTCGTTCGTGAAGAAGCTGCCTCGTGGTTATTTGGTGTGCGTTTCTTTGGTCGTGTCTCGTTTGCCGACCATACGATCGGGAGCGATCCGTTCGAGGGCTGGCGACTCGGCCGGTGATCGATGCGCGTCGTTAAGACGAGTAGTTCGTTGAGCTGCCCGAGGACGAGGACGACGACGAAGAGCCCACCGAGCTGTACGAGCTGCTGCCGGGCGAGTAGTAGCTATACGCAAGATTCTGGGCCTCCACACCATTGGTCGGTGTCCAGACACGGGAGTATGGGCCGTTGCCGTCCCACGTGTTGGCGGGATCGTAGCTTGACGTCGTCGAGAGCGAAGGTGGTAGCCCATACGTCGCCGCTGGTTCCATGGACATGCCTGTGATCGAAAAATTTCACTCTTTACGCACTTCACGAAAGCGATACCGCAGCGGGATACAAAATAAAACTCTCATTTCAAAATAGTATAATCTCATAACAAAATCCTCTTACACATTATTCAAGAGAACTCTTCCAAAATGAAAATATTCTAACATCCAAAAAAGAGCTCTAGTTGCAGAAGCCATTTTTTTGTAGTCGCATATTCTAAATGAAAAAGTATTCCACTTCTAATAAAGAGGAAGAATTCTAAGAATGAGATTATATTTTTTTTAAGTGCTTCAAAGTATTATAAATTATTGTATTGTTGTTTTTTTATTAAAATCAAATAATAAATGTTGAAAGACGCTAAAAGACATTTGCAGATCTAATTCGTATTTCAAGTAATATGAATTTAAAATAATATTCTCTTTAGCGCGGTATAATTACAACAGATCTTTTCGCAAAATTAATCGAGCCTAATAAGACCTTTAAATGTGTTAAAATGTTTCCTCGAATGGTGCAATCGGTGGATGAAAGATTTAAACACCTTTATTTCACTTTTAATTTATTTTTACCTTATTTTGTAATAATTTTCAGAATATATACTCTGAATGTATTCTCTCATTGAAACAAAAGTGTTGCTTTTATCTACTAATTGTATGTCTTTTACAAATTTTTTGTTTCTCTTTTTTGGCAAACCACGCTTTTGTTAACAATGTCCCGGTGGAATTTACAAAAAACACAGAAATGGTGATTCGCTAATTATTTAAACGAGGAACTGGGACACATGTACATACCCATCGGCATCATCATGCCGCCCTTCTTGAAGAACTGCATCGCGACAAATCCGATCACGAGGAGGATGGCGATCTTCGACAGGACGAGGGCCTTCAACGCCTTCAGTCCGATAATGGCCACGAAGATGGGCATGAGAGCCTTCATCTTCAGCTTCAGCAGCAGCAAGAACGGTAACAAGAGCTTCTTCTTCAAGAGCCCCCGGGCTTGATTGGTGGCCACGTCGTTATCCTTGAACTCAACGTCCAGATCGGCCAAGCTCCTGCTGGGCCTGTACTTCAGACTGGCGTCGATGAAGGGCAGGTCGAGCCCATAATCGAAGCTCTTGAGATACTTGACGATCCTGGCGACGATCGCCTCGTCGACGGTCTCGAGCGACCTCGCCTCCGTACTGGTGCCCAGCTTGTCGTCGAGGTAATCCAAAACATGACGTTTCAGACAGGAAGTCCACGATTTCGCCGCGATGCACTCGTTCAAGGACTTCGCGAGGAAGTCCTGGTTGGCCGCGCAAGATCCAACTAACAGAACGATCGCGCCTATCGATGCTATCAGTCGCATGTCGGGATCCTCCTGCTTCGTTTCCTCAATGAGTTTCACGGCCAATCTCGGCAAACAGTCCCGCCGCTCGCGCGCGATTCCCTCCGCGTCCCTGCGTATCGCGACAACGCTCGCACCACGTGTCAACAAAAGCGCTCGATTGTCCGGCGTGCGCGCGTGCGTGCGAACGAGCTATGATCGGCGATCGAACTGCGACTGACGGAGGAGTGGCCCGCCCCTTTTATTTAATTTGTCCCCCATGAATCTATGTTATTCGGTCGCGCATGCCGGGAATCGACGATCGGAGGAAAATTATTCAAATTTCACTGGCATGGAGCGTCGCGCCTCTTCGCCACCCGCCTCCCCCCGTCGCGCCCCCGCGCGCCCCATCGCACCCATTCAACGGCGCGCGAGCGACTACGTACACACGCGCGACGCGTACGCGCCTGTCGATTGTCGTGCGTCGCGTGCGCCGTACACGATGGCATGCGACGACGACAAAGAGACGACGGGAAACGGAACTCGCGCCTCTCCTCCGACGTGCTCTCACTTGACTCAGGCCCGCCGCGGCCCGCCGCGGCCTGTATGCCTTCTACGACGCGCTGATTAACAGGATGGGTAACTGTTGTCGCCGTGATATCGCTGTTGTCACCGTTTGCCGTGACGCAGAGCGTGAGGTAGGCGCAAGGGGATGAGGACGCGACGTTTACGCACGAGAACGCAGATGGTGACCTCACCCCTGCCGTTGCGCCCGAGAGAGCGTCGATGATTTAAGCATTATGACACAGATTGCGGCGCATCTCGCCCCGCGTGCTGCCGGCCGCAACGACGTTATCGGGGAAGTGGGATGCGCGTAAATCTTGGCGCGACGGAACGAAACGGGACCCTTGTCGTACGGAAATTAAGTCGAGACGCGCACTGCGGACTTACTTTCAGCTTGGTTCACCGAAATTAATGTGACTTTAACACTGCGCTGCAAAAGTAACGATACTTTACGAAAGTCTGAACGAGAATACATGAAACGCACAAAGTTTCTAAACATAGTATGAGTAATATATTAAGCGCGGGCAGTTTATAAATAAGTCCAGAAGAAAGATATTTAAGCAGATATTTGCCGACCACAGGAAGGAGATAACTAAGTAATCGTCAAATAATTGGTCTGTTGTTTCTTTCATTAAGAGTGAAAGTAATTCAAGTAATTGTAGCAGTGATAACACGGTGGGATTGAAGACATAAATAATTCTTTAAACAGAGGACTTGTTTGTCGATTTACAAGTTTATTTACCTCAATTTGCTTTATTAGATCTTTTATTTAGGATATCATATGTTTTTAATAGAGAGAGTTTTTTAACTTTTCTGTAGAAACCAAAAATCACGTAACGTGTTAAAACCGATGAAACGATTCGCATTTCAGAGGGATGACTTTCAAATAACTTTCGTAGGAAACGAAAGTGACTGCATTCGTATGTAGGTCTTCGTGTATAAAAGTTCCATAAAAGATTCGACCAATTCAGCATGCGAATAGCGTCACCTCTGTTAAGCTGACATTCGCTCACAATATAAAATATTCAAATGGAAGCTATACGAGAATAAAATACTAATTGGATGCTAATTTAATGCTACAACATCGATTTTCTTGCTCGTGCTGTTTAGCAGGAATTCGTCTCTGAAATTGGCGCGGTGCTGACTTATGTTTACGTAGCACCTTTATAACTTGAACAAATAAAAACCAAAGAACATACCCACCAAAATTGTCTTTTAAAATACTTACTTCAGTTATGAGTAAACAAAGATCAATTATACTAATTGTTAACAACAATAAAGTGCTTTAGAATCAATAATAAAGTGCCTAAGAATCAATATATTGAGTCACTCTTTCTCCTGAAAATATTCACCAACTTAAGTGTTCGCAAGAAATGCAAAATCAGATTTCGGTGTATTGAATTAGAGAAGCAACGCTGAAATAGCAGATAATTGGTATTTTAATTCCAGTTTTAGTTTCCATAAATTTTTGGTAATTAATATCGGCGAAGTTCAACGACGACGCTCTAATTTCTAAAGTTTGATTCTTCGCATCTCCTATCTCCGCGTAGCCGAGATACGAATTCAGGAATCTCGTAGAGCAAGAACGATCGACCACGTGGTCGAGCACGTGCTGAGGCAACCGCATCGCCAAGTGCATTCATCGGGCGAGTGCCGAGTGAGTGGGGAGACGCGGCCCGAGCGACAACGCGTTGAGTGTTTTGAGAAGTGTGAGCGAGCAGGTGACCCTGACATTGCTCAAGTAGTAACAAGTGATCCAAAGCGCTCGATTTGATACAAACATCAATAACTCAGCCTCCAGATGCTGTAGAGACTTCGCTTAAGACTCGTTGGGAAGCTAAGACTCCCGCGCACCTGACTAAAGCATACACTGAAAAAAAGTTTGGTAATACTTACCAAATGCGTTTTACCATACCATTGACAAATAGTAACCAATATGGTAAATGTTACGAAATATTTGATAATAATTACAAAATTGTTAGTAACATTAATTTTCATATAGTAATATTTACCTCTTATATTTAATTGATACTATTTCACTACATGTAGTAATTATAACGCAGGCTGGATAATTATTACCAGAAATTTTTCTCAGTGTAGTCATTTCTCTGACTGTTGAGAATTCAAAACCAGAGTTATAACAAACCGGAAGAATGTGGCGTCTCCAATATATTACGGCTAAGTAGATGTGATCTAGAAGAAAAGTCCTTAAGTTTCGTGCAAGCCGCAATGTCGTAGCTTTACACGTTGGCGAATTATTAATTATGAAAGTTGTAATGTATTGTCGAAATGTGTAACTTATATTTAAGGATAAGAGCGTCGGCTTAATAGAGGAGATGTCCTTGTGAATTCAAAGAAATACTACGAAATGAAAGAAAATTGTAGTAGGAAACAGACGATTCGCTACTAAAATTAGTCTACAATTATGGTTCTTTTTCTGAATTATATTGTCGTATCCGTTGTTATGGAAAATTATAACTTCGTGCAAAATATTCACTTTACTCCTAATTTTTGTACAGAAGTTTGTCACTAAAAATTATATTATTAATTCCAAAAAAAGGACAGAGATAAATGAGTTTGAAATATACACAGAGAGAACTTTATAGTAAAAGTTATCATGAAATTTTGTAGCCTTGCAATAATTTGCATTAATTGACTATTCTTTCATTTCACATTAAGAGATTTGATATATTTCTAGTAAAATTTACCATGTTCCTTAGTAAGATAAAAACTTTACTAACAATCCATTCCAGCATTACTAGAAATATAGTAAAATTGAAAAGAATTTATATGAAAAAAAATTATAATATTCCCTCCTTGTAATGTCTCTTCTCAAGAGAATTTCGTGCAAATAATTTATTCATTTAGATAACGAAGAAGATAAATTAATTTTTATTCTTTTCCACAATATTATTTACTAGTCGATTTCTTCCTTTCGGAATAAATTTTAGCATTTGACGAGAGATGGTAATAAATTATACGAGGCTTTGTACAGAGTATGCGAGTGTGTACGTGTGTATGACTTGCAATAATAATTTATTAAATAAACAGTACAAGTAGGAAGAGAGAGCTAAGTATTTTACAAAAGCGCCGACGACAGGACGGCAGCGACGTTCAGGATTGCGCGTGAGCGGAATACGCGAGATTGTGCGCGAGCTGCGACGACGACAGCTGATTCTGATCCTGGAAGGACCTGTATTGAGCCTGGTACTCCCAAGGTCCATGGGCGATCGGCGCGCCGTGACTGTCGGCGGCGATCTTCTTGCACAGCTGGAAGATGGCCATGCCGACCGACACGATGAAGCTGAAGAACGAGAGCTGCAGGGCGTTCCAGGCCTTCAAGCCCAGTACACCTATAGCCAGGGGGATCAAGGTCATCGCCTTCAGCAGGACGAATACGAGAATGGGGATGACGACCTTCTTCAGCTTGGACCTGCGGGCCTCGTCGACGGCGCGGCCCTGGCCGAACTTGACGTCGAAGGTGAGCTGATCGTCCTCGATATTGCGCGAGCTCACCTTCACGGCGGAGTCCAGCGGCAGCTTAAAGGTCACGTCATGAGAGGACAAGTAGTTCTGCACAGTGTCGAGGAAGGAGATTTCGCTGCGGGCGGACACCTCCTCGACGGGGTGCGAGTTGCGCGTAACTTCCACTGACTCGGACACCTGGAAGGACCGCGATGGTGAAAAAAATATCCAAATTTATGATAAAACAAGGTGTTGAGAAAAGTCAGATAAAAATGATATCAACATATATATTCACGTGACTTTGATCATAGATAATAGAAATAAGGAAAAATGAAAGCGCGAGAACTCCATGATATCGCGGATCATCCTGAAGAGGTGTGTTTCCCTCTTTCCTTTCGATTAGCGTCTCCGTCGATACTTGCCTTGAAGTTATCCTTGCTAAAGATCTGATCAAGCAGATTGAACATCTTGAACTTCATGCACGCGACCTCGTCGTTCTTCTGCGAGCACTCTGACCTGCTGTGATCGACCATCTCGTCCATGGCGCTCTTCCAGTTCTCATGTTTGGCCGGTTGCGCGACGGCCAGCGCGAGCAGGGTGCACGAAAGGACGAGGAACTTCATGACGTTGGCGCAGGGGTGTGTATCCGCCGGAGGACGAAGATAAGGAAAAAAAGAAGTAGACTGTCGCTTCAAGTACACCCGCTTGAGTATAATGAATGAGGACAATCGCGGCACGACGACGACTGATGCCGATGGGTTGGACACTACGGTATTTATACAAGGCCTATCGTCGAATCGCACAAGAGCCGCACGTCGAAGAGTCGCGTAGCGGCGCTCCCGAGTACTCCCCCACTTCCGTCGGCTAGGCTGGATTTTCTTTTCGTTCAGTATGGTCTTCGATTATTGAGGCCTCGCCACGGATCATGCCGCGACTACCTGATGAGGGAGGATAACGCAAAGCCGGCGTGAGGTCGACACGCGATACGCGACGCCGAATCGGGGGTAGCGGCTGACACCGTCGACTGCGCCAGTGGGTCGCGCAAACGCGCATTTTCGGGTCGTATGAAACGCGATGGAATCTATGATATTTAATAAACGACAGTTTGCTTTCTACGAACGATCGGGGGCGCACGGTCAAGCTTGCGACACCCGTGAAATATTTTCGGAGCGTGGCCCGGAAAGAAATACTTTTGATTGACGGACGCAGCCCGACTGCGAAATCGTCTCGGATCCATTGCGATCCGGTTGACACGGAAATGAACGATACGACAGTTGCTGGAACCTTAGAAGGAGCGGTATCCAGATTTAATATGTAAAAGTGTCATATAAAAATTGGTATAGAAACATAGATAGATTTACAAATATCTACACTAAGAAAAAATGTTTGATATTTATAACTGTAATCACATAAAGAAACAATTATTATAAATTATAGTAAAAGTTGACTTTACTTTTTTATTAAATCATGTTTTTAATTAATTCTACTATAACGTTAACAATATTAATAACGATGTGCATGTTACTATTATTATTTTACTATAGAAAACATGATTGGGGCCAAAAATAACTATAATTTTAATTATATTAATTATTTTTTTCTCTCAGTGCAGATATAGCGCGAGTAATTTTATTTATTTATTTATTTTTAAACATACAAATTAATAACTACTGATAGTAGAAAAAAATGTATATACACATATATATAATATATAGTACATGAAAAAAAAACATAATGCATACTAGAAAAAAATAATCAAGTTATTTTTCTTTAAATAAATGAAACTCATTTCATTTAAAAATAACTTTAATTATTTTATTTGAATTAAATTTTTTTATTTATAAGTATAAAATAAAAAATCGAGTTATAAAATAATATAAAATAAATTTACAAAATATGAAAATATTATATTAAAATAAAGAAGCAAGATAAAACTTCTTTATTTAAAGTTTATTTAAAATTAAATTTATTTTATACTATTTATTTAAAACTTTATTTAAAATTTATTTAAAATTAATTAAATTTATTTAAAAAGAAATTATTAAAATTTAAATATTAATTAATATATAATTTAAAGTAAAGTAAAGAACTAAAAGTAAAGAAAGTTATTTATGTATAGGGGAAACCGGGGCTACTGGAGTAAATTGGTAAAATCGATTATTTCTAGTATAATGATTTTCCTTGAAATTCTTGCTTGTTAGATTCTGAAATCTATTAAAAAACAGTAGAAATAATCGATTTTGCCAACTTATGCCGAATGGCCAAATAGCTCCTATTTCTTAATCAAACAAGTTATCAGAATGTTGAATAATTACTTTTAAAACGATAATTAAATGAAATTTTAGTTATAAAATTTTTTTATGCCAAAAAATAAACTATTATTTTTGATAATCTTAATGTCTAAATTGTTCACATTTTATTTAAGCATATTGTTGTTAATATTACGTTTACACAACATATTAAATTATTATTTGACTATACGTTTCGCTCTTCTAATATCGCATAGCGTTTTATGTCAGGCCACCGGTTCATCCGTGGGATGATATATATAAAGTAAAACCGGTTTGAATTCACTTAATAAGACTATTAATTAACACACATACATAAGACGTACGTATAATTTGAAAAAATAATATACGACGAAAGAATTTCATTGTTTCCTCGATGTATATACAGCGCGCAGCCGGTAGCGTCGTAACAAGAGTCTGCTTATGCCGGCATTGAAGTCATCGTAACGCAGGCGTCGCGTCGATCATTCATTCATGCCACGATCGTGACTTTCCACACGAGCGGCTCCGTTAAAGCTTTTACACACACACGTCCCAGTCCCTCCGCGACTTTCCTTGTGCCGCCTTATCCTCGCCTTCAAGTCAATCGATATCCAGCTGCTAATTTCACCCCAATTAAATGGCGTAGTTCCCGATCGTGCCCGAGGGAAAACGATGCATCAGCGATGCGCGCCGCGTACGGAGTTTCTCGCGCGTGAATGCGCACAAGCTACCATTCGCATAGACGCTTCTGTCCACGCTGCCCGACTTCTTCGTCGCCGTAACAATGAAACGGCAATTGGAATTTTGGGTCAAGTTTGCATAAGCATTCAGGTCGTCCGGCCGACGAAATGTCGATCGACGTCTTTTGCGTTTCGCGAGACGGATCGGGCTCTTCGCGCTCGACGTTCGCGTGAAACGCGGGTTCCTACGTGTTTATGACACTCTTCCTTTGCAAACTGGAAAAATTTATTTGTGTACGTCAACTGTACGTTGCCACGTACAGATACCTGATTTTCACTTAAGACATCCTGAAATTTGCAATTTGTCCAGCAGAATCTTTCGAAGACGCGCTTCTTTGCTACAGTTCGTGTAAACCGACGACGAATTTTTGCGAAATTTGTGACTATTCTTGTTTTGATGTTTCTATCATTGAGACGTTTAATTGTTCTCTCTGCGCTACGTACAGTGTGCGATACGTAATTACTAACTTACGCGTTGGCGGTAAATTACCGTACCGGTTCTAACGATAACACAATTTATGCGCATCTCGTTTGTGTAACATGTGGCGCGTTAAAAATAAAAGCCAATATCAACGAGCGAGTCACTTTCTTCCGACCTACTTCCGTGTTTATCCGCTATCCTTTTACATCCACTCTTCTCCTCAACATTAACGCGCGCGACAGTGTATCTCTCCAACAACCGTTCCAACAGCCGAGGGCGAAAAACGAGAGTGAACAGGCACTGAACAGGGCGGGATCAAGGTGGGAATAATCGATGAGACTCGCTTAATGGAATAATAACTTTTATTGCGCATAAATAACGGTGGAACACTAACGACGAATAAATATTAAATAAACAATTTACAAAAGTGAAAAGAGACACGGCGACCTCGTGCTACCATGCCCTTCTACTTCCTGTAGGCCCTGTAAGGCCCATGAGCCGACGTGTCCCAGTGAGGTGGATGTTCCACGGGCGGGTGTCCGTAGTGGACAACCTCGTAAGCAACTTTCGGCTTCGTCAGCTTGAAGATCAGCATCGCCCCGCTGAGGACCATCGACAGCAAACCGAGGGTGAACGCCTTCCACGTCTTCAAAGCGATCAAAGCGAGTGCGAGGGGCACCAAGGCGGTGGCCTTGAACTTGAGACCGAGCAGGAACGGTATCATCACCTTCTTCACGAAACCTCGACCTGTGAACATAAATGGAGACGCATTCTATTCAGAAAATGCTTCTCTCGTGAATTCGATAATCGTGAAAAGATTATCCAATCGGAATATCCGGAATTATCCAACCGATTTGAATATCAAGTTCAAGATCTGGATAATAGATAAAGAAATAATAGATGAAGAATAGATGTCGAGTCCAACGTGACGTTCGTTACATTTTGCATAATGTGTTTTGCAAACCTGAACTGTATTAAAATTATAAAAATAGTAAATCTGATGATATCTATCTCAGGTACGATAAAAAAGAACATTCAAATAATTACAACAATTTTAGATAATTTCAGATAATTACAACAAAGTCAAGCGTGCATCACATTTTTAATCAAATATATAATAATTTCGGTCACATAATTCTGTACGGTCAAGCTACAAGAATTTTCATACGTTACCTTGTTCATTGGAGGAGTCGCTGAGAGGAACGGTAAGACTTGTTGGCATACTGTCGATTAAAGACCTAGGAACGATGTTGGATCCTGCGATCGCATCCGGCAGTTTGGCCTCGAGCTGGTGGCTCGACAGGTACGCGTCCAGTTTCTCGAGCATCAGCGTGCGCAAGAGCTTCCTCTTGGACGGATCCGCGGAGTCGTACTGCGACGGCTCGTAATCCTCCGTGTCACCCTTCGGCGCGTCGCGGGATTTAACCACCGCCAAATCCTCCGTGATCGCCAGTCTATCTTGCTTCAAGGCATCGGTGAGGTAAGCCAGCACCTTCGGTTTCACGCAGGATAACATTGACTCGCTATCCGCGCATCTGTAACGTATCAGAATCCATATTGAAGGACGTTTCTAATATGTTCCTGTAACACCATCATTCGATTCTATATCTATCATGTAGAAGACATTTCTTTATGAACGTCGAATAATTAAGAACCAACTGAAATTTTACCGTAATCTTAATAGGAAGTGAAACTGGGTTTTTACAGCAATAAAATTATGATTGCTGTAAAAATTCAGTTGGTCCTTATTAAATACAATTTAAGTCAAATAAATTGATCGAATTATAATCAAATTATGACTTGCTGTAAAAATCTAGTTGGTTCTTGACGACAACAGCTAATCAAATTAGTTGATTAAACTACAATCAAATTAGTTGATCAAACTATGACAATCAAATTATGACCGTTTGAAAAATTTTGTTAGTTCTTAATAATTACAAAATTAAATTACTAAATTAAATTAAATCATTAAAATAATTAAAATAATTAGAATGAGTGTACAAATATGAAATATTTATAGTTTACCTGTGATAAATTTTTTGCAGGACCCCGACGGTGGTGTCCGTTCGCTGCGCACCAATGAGGGTGGCCAGAAGCGTTACGGAAGCAACAATGGCTGAGATCCTCATGACGGTACCACCGATTCGCCAGGCCAAACACCGAATGCCAGTTCGAACGAAGTCAACGGGGTTTTATAGCCGATGGCAGCCACGTACGACTGATGAATTTTGATCAGGGACGTGGTCGGGGCTGCCGACTGCTCGAAAGAAAAGAAGAAAGCCTCATTATCTAGGGTGTCGATATTTTTCACGGCCGCGAGAACTGCCTCCTCCCTCCGCGACGATTTCGTTTTCGTTAGCCGCGCGAGACGTCACTTCCACCTGAGCCTTACCTCCACCCAGGGCGAGGTCTACTCTATTTTGGCTTTTCGTTCGTTTAACGAAGAAAAATGAACATTTCACTGGGAAAACGAATATTCTCGCAAGAGTAAAAAATAAAATGTTGAGAGATTATTAAATTAAATGTTGAGAGGTTTGTTATTAAATCTAAATATTTCTGAACAGCGTTGATTCAAACTGATCGACAAGATCGATACACAGCGAGTTGTGAAGCTTTTTACTAAGCTTGATTTTTACAAGTTACTAAGCTCTAATCAGTTTTCCGTGGAAGAGCCGCATCTGAAAGATCTGAAAAAGCGAACTCATTCTTGGCTGCCCCCTTTTCTCTTGGGAATCACTTCCTCTCGAAGATACAAGCGCTACATATACAAGTTACATCGTGTTTACAAGGATAATAATAATATAGAGCTCAATTGAATGTTTCAGCATTTTATTGCGTATAAATTAACATAGATAACACAATCACATTACGAAACTAGTTGAAACCGTTTATTTATACTTTTTACATTACACACTTCTTACTCAGCTAAAACTAAGGAGAGCTTAGCGTAATGTTAAATCAAACGCAATTATTATTGGGTATGGCACCCCGGTGTATTACGTGACAGCAACTGATTAATTGCACTCCCGTGAGATAAGCACGCGCTGATCTACATTCATCAGAGACGCTACTTTTCTGAACTCGTTTCTACATCACACGCATCGTACTTCGTCACTACTCTCTTTCTATCTCCACCGCTCAGATTAATTGAATAAATTAATAAAATTCTTCTTACTATTTCCGCAAAGTCCTACGCGCGGAAAACTAAATAAATTAGAAAAATTCCTCTTATCATTTCCGCAATGTCCTGCGCGCGAAATCGCGGCAAATTATAACGCGAAAATGATATCCAACCCGTAAAATGCCCCTCAATCCTATGACCGATCTCATTGCGCGATCGTGTCCATTTTTGAAGGCAATGATCTAGCTGACAACGTGCCAACAGACTGCAGGAACTTTGACACGTCATCGCAAAATCGAACGATTTCACTAATTAAGTCTGTTCTTTTTAGTTGAACTGCCTGAACTGGTGCAGACTAACGCAATAATTTAGAGTAGATATACAAAAATACTTGTTTCACTCCAACTTATTCTAACCAGTGTGCACCATTTCAGACAGTTCAGCTGAAAAGAACAGACCTGTTGACTCGTGCATAAATTAAAAAAAAAAAAGAAAGAAAAAAAGGAAGGGAAAGAAAAGGGAAACGACAAACTGGCACGAAGCGCAGCAAATATCGCACTCGACGTACTGATCAGCTCCTAACGACTAAGTTTTAATCGCTTAACGACGCCAACTCCCTCGATTTGGGAATTCGCAGATACAGCCACCCCCCGGTAGGTAGATCGACTCGCAAGTTACAACGGAAATGTAAATTAATGCATGGCAGTAACCCCGTCGGACCTTCCCGCGGCGATTTTACGCGGCGCCGCGACGTCGGTGCGCGGCCCGTGATCTCCACCTCAGGCTTATTGAGCAAATATGTACGTCTAACAGCACTTGCGTCGCGGGACCGGCAACATCTGTCGCGTTCTAATTGCAGGTATGCCCGTGGTTATTCCACGGAAATTCTGCGTTTGGCGCGCGTCTACTCGGTATTGACGTGGCAGGGATACGTTCGCAGGCAGTCTCCGCCGTCCTGACCGTGTCTGGCCGCGCTCATGTACCGGTGAAACTTGCGGCTGGACGCGCTTTCCACCGCGCCGAGCTTCAACTCCTGCGGGTCCCTGAAAAGATGCAACACGCAATGATCAGTTTATCGCGCACAGAAAAGTACACGCTGCACTCAAATAAGTGTCATTTGACTCAACTATTTTATAAGTTTATGCAAATCTATATCATAAGCTCAGCATGAGCATCAGATTTATTCAAAATACATTTTGAGACTTGACAAGTTTAGCATGTCAAACAAGAATGTTAAACAAAAACAAAAATTTGGTTTATTTACTATATACAAACTTCCTTGATAAATCTCATAATATTCTCGCGAAGAGAATATTTTTTTTTCAGTATATGGTATGATAATGAATTTTTTTATAATTTGTTAAGAGCATATTTTAAAACTGTTATTAAGAAAATATTCCTTATAGAGAGAAGAAAAGCATTACTTGAAAGTGATTGAATTGATTTTCTTAACAAAATAGAATGATATAGAATAAAATTATAATTTTGTCTTAATTGATTGATTAATTGATTAATTGATTAATTGATTAAATGATTGTTTCGCGACTCCTTCGCAAGAAAGTTTAAGTTTCGCATCAAAATCTGTGGCGGCTCTTATTGACCTTCTATCTGGATATCTCAGAGAGTTTCGCTATGATATATTTCAATTTCATTGCAATTAATTTTATTTTATGGAATTAATTAATTTTCCCTTAACAGAGAAATTGCTTCATTACATCAAGCATTTTATGATTTTCGTAAAAATTGTTCGCAAAACTATTGCACGGAAAGAAAGGCTAAACTGGATCAAAGAAATTTCTGGTAAAAAATGAGTGGACCAGAAAATCCTGTTGAAGTCATCAGAGTTCCGTTCGGACTAACAAGATTTCTAATAACTTCAATCGAAACTTTTTGGCTCGTCCATACTTCGTCAGAAATTCGGTCAATCCAACTAAACATTTGTTCCGCGAACGGTCACCTCATGCAATTTTGTGGGCGACCACCGTAGTGGTTGTTCCTCGCGAGAAGGTTAACAATGCAACTCCGACTGTCTGCGGTGACGTGGGTGGTGTCTTTATGAGGCGCGATAATCTCGCGTCCTAAAAATGTATCGCACTCGTTCCGCGCGTCGACCCGATTCGCGTTGTCGTCCTCTTCTCCTCGGCGCTTATGCCGGGACAATTCGACACGAGGAGGCGGCGACGCGACGACACTATTGTCGACAGGACGGGACAATTTCGTCGTCGCCCGCGCGCGGAGGAAGTACTCACTGATTCGAGAAGTCGTAATTGTGCGTGGATGAATTGTCCGACGGACGTGTCTTCGCGGGCAACGCGGAATTGTCCTATATATTTCCGCTCCGTCGCGTCGCCGAACACACCACGGGGGCGGGGGAAGGGGGGAGGAGGGAAGACGAGGAAAGTAGTATCCTTGCCGTTTGCGCGCCTCTTGTTGGCGGAATGCTCGAAGCGCGAGGCGGAATACAAAGCCCGGGCGAGTCCGGTACGAGTCGCGCGAACGCGGCATTAAGTAAGAAGCGGGCAGAAAGAACGCGAGACCGCGAGAAAAAGAGAGAGAGCCGGCCAAGGCCAACGTGACCCGATTAACGCGATTCGGAGCGCGGGCGATACGATGCAACCGGCGCGATGCGATCTCCACCTTTCTCCTCGCTCTTGTTCGGCGATTTAATCGGCAAAGGATATATAATTGGCAGAAGAAAGGCTGCGACGTTTCAATACTTTTTTTTTCCTTTCCAATGAGCGCCGCATCGCTCACCTGTGGATGATAGAAGGGGGAGACTCTCAGTAATTTTCCGAGGATGAATTGTCACATTGGACACACCGCATGCGTCCTGGAGTTTATTGAGTTAAAAGTGTTGCAGTCTCTTTCTTCCACATTGACTGTAAGTACCCAGACAGACAGATGGACGTGAATCGGCAGCAACTCTAATAGCCGATTTCGGGAGGTTGCATTCCTCATTACTTGCCTGATCTTATCACATGGCACTCATATTTTTGTGCACATCATAAAGTGATACGAAATAGAAATACGAAAGAAATACAAGAAAAATTATCAAACTTGCTTAAAACAATATTAAAATTTAATTGTTAATGTAAACAATACAGTATATTTGCCTCAGAAATGTAATTGAAAAAAAAAAGACTTAAAGTTTCTATCATCGATTATCTCACGTCGTGACAATCAAGTCGATCTGGGTAAATGCAGTTGACTGCTGAGAAATTTTGCAGCGCTTTTCTCAATCTGTTGAGTTTCGCAGAAGTCACTTGACTCTTCTTCCAAGCGCATTGAAGAGAATTTCCGCCTTTATGATGCTCGTACTGATACATACCGCCACTCTACCCGCCGACTAATGTGTACAGACTATTACTACCGCGTGACGTTACCTGGAAAGCTCGTTGGACACGAGGTTGCTGTGCGGCGAGTAGACCGCCGGGTTCTTGTACATGCTGCAGACGAGCCTCTCCCGGCACGGCTCTTCGTAGAACCTCAGCTGCCCGAAGATGTCATCGAGTCGCGCGATTATCGGCCCGTAATACTCGTCGTCGGTTTCTTGCAGCGCGGTCGACACGGTTCCGCTCTTGGCCGCCGCGACGGGCGTCAACACTCGCTGCGCTTGGAGATGCGCCGGGCGCGTGTTCGGCGCGAAGGCCGTGTACGGATTCTTCAAGTTCGTCTTCAGGTTCGCGCCGAGGCCCGGATTTACCGAGAGCACCGGCTGCTGCTGAGCGCCGGGTCGTCGATTGTACTTGTTGACGTCGTTGAGATATCCGGAGTAGGCCAGATTGTGCGCGTTGGCCGAGACCGAATTGTCCAGGTAGCTCGACGCGATCGGCTTGACGTTCGGCGCGTACTGCGGTAGCCCGTATAGACTTTGGTACGTGGAGCTGGCGGCGGGCGCGCGGTTCAGATGTTGACCAGAGTCCTCGTACGGCTCGTCGTACGGCTCGATTCCCCATTCCTTCAGCTCCTCCATGTCCTTCCGGTACTGGATGTGCGGGTGGGTGTAGTCGTAGCCGTCGAAGTCGTCGTCGTCGTGATGGTGAGAATGAGGGTGACGGTCGTAGTACGTGGGGACGGCAACCGGCACCGGCACGTGATGATGGTGATGCGCGATCTAAAACGGAGAAAGAGGAAATAGAAAGGAAATAGAAAATAGATAAGAAAATAGGAAAGAAATAGGAAATAGAAGAAGAGGAAGTGTCGTGCGCGGAAGATTCAAACGTGGTGAATTTTACGTACCTGATGATGATGATGGTGGAACTTGGTGCCGTGGTTCGAGTAGTAGCTGGAGCAGAGCTTGAAGATGTGCGCGAACGCGGGAATGAAGAAGAGCAGCAGCTTCAAGAAGAGCTTCTTCGCGGTGCCGATGCCGAACAGGAACGGGATGACGAACATGAACTTCACCTTGATCAGTTTGATAATAAGCAGGAGCGCCAAGAAGCTCGTCAATAATTTATTCTGTATGAATTTTCCTGAAAGAAGAACATAGCGTTATAGCTTCTATGCTTATCGCGAAAATTATGAAATTTCTCTGTGCTTATTATTGTTGCTATTGTAATTATTATTATTATTATTATATTATCACATTATGTATATAATTATTATCCAATAATAATTATTATTTCTTATTATTACACAATCGTATTTTTTAAGACATGCAATGCAATCTGGGTTTCTCAGACGCGAGCAACTTTGAACTAAGATTTATCTTATTATAACTGAGGCTTTTGTGTCTCTGTTTTTCTATGGAAGAAAATGTTCAAAAATATTAATTTTCAACCAAGTTATATGATAAGGTTAAAGTACCAATGTCTGAACACTAATAACGCTAGTATCTAATTCTGAACATTCTTATCGTGATTGGTTTTTAAATATACGAATATTTTTAAACTTCCAATACAGAATATATAGATATCTTCTATGTTGAAAGTCTAAATATTCGTATTTAAAGCCAAAACGAATATCCAGAGTTAGGTAACAGTGTTATTAGTGTCCACACGTTCATACTCTTACTTTACCATAACTTTATTGGAAATCAATATTTTTGTTTTTCCTAGAAATGCAAAAAAGTTTCAATATGATAATGGCGTGATAAAATCGAAGTCTACAAACAGATTTACGCTGTTTTGAAACTCCTCAGGCTCGTCAGTAAGCGACTGAGTGTTCGTTTGGATCTCAACATCGTACGCGGAGGATTGTTATTGTCATTGTTGTTGTTTTATTATTATTATTGGACAATGAATGTTCAATTTATTTGCGAGAATGATAGCCGAATTACTGATTTTCTTGAAGATCCTTCCCTGCTCCTCCACCGCGCGGGTGCCGAAGTCCACCCTGAGGAGAGCCCCGCTCTCGTCGATCTCGCGTGGGCTGATCTTCACGGTGGCGCCGTCGAAGAAGAAGCGCGGTAGTTGGATCTCATAGTTGCGTGTCGATAGGAACTTGAGCGTCTTCCGTCGCAGCGCGTTCACGATCTCCTCGAGCGGCGATTCCGGCTCGTCCTCGAACTTTCGGCCTTGCCGTCGCGCGTCCTCTTTCCCCGCCCTCTGGTCGCAATCGTCCGCGCTGACGTCATCCACGAGATTCTCGTGAACATCGTTACGGTCCTCCGTTCCGGGACACGTCACGTCGTACGTGACGTTGTTACGCGTAAGCGTCAGGCCGTCGAACACAGTGATGTTGTCCCGCTCGATGAACGCGTTGTCCAAGTAGGTGTACGCGTTCTTCTGTATGCAGGAGAACGTCACTCTCCTGCTGCAATCTCTGAAGAGGCCGTGCCAGAGTTCATTACTCGTCTCGTTGGCGGGCCGCGCCAGGTTGAAGTTCAGGATCCTCGCGAACAGCTTGAACTTCTCGGCGCTGAACAACTCCGAGCGCGACGATGACATGATCAAGAGGCACCACAGGAGCACCGTCGTCCACCGACACATCTTCGGCATCACTCGTCGCGCGAATCAACCACGTATGTGTGTGTGTGTGTGTGTGTGTGTGTGTGTGTGTGTGTGTGTGTGTGTGTGTGTGTGTGTGTGTGTGTGTGTGTGTGTGTGTGTGTGTGTGTGTGTGTGTGTGTGTGTGTGTGTGTGTGTGTGTGTGTGTGTGTGTGTGTGTGTGTGTGTGTGTGTGTGTGTGTGTGTGTGTGTGTGTGTGTGTGTGTGTGTGTGTGTGTGTGTGTGTGTGTGTGTGTGTGTGTGTGTGTGTGTGTGTGTGTGTGTGTGTGTGTGTGTGTGTGTGTGTGTGTGTGTGTGTGTGTGTGTGTGTGTGTGTGTGTGTGTGTGTGTGTGTGTGTGTGTGTGTGTGTGTGTGTGTGTGTGTGTGTGTGTGTGTGTGTGTGTGTGTGTGTGTGTGTGTGTGTGTGTGTGTGTGTGTGTGTGTGTGTGTGTGTGTGTGTGTGTGTGTGTGTGTGTGTGTGTGTGTGTGTGTGTGTGTGTGTGTGTGTGCTGAGTGAGCAGAGAAGAGCACGTTGATATATTCCTATCCTGACTGTGTTTACGTATGACCAGAGAAGTGTGAGGTAACGTCCCGGAAGCACTGCACGCTCTGAATGCACGCTGACGACCAGTCACTGATCTAGCAGATCCGTGACTGGAACCGGCGCACTTTTGATTTCGCGTCGAAGGTCATCGTCGATCACACGCCAGCTACCGCGTGCCGGTGTTCGGATTCTTTGGTATCTACCGGCGGTGGTCGCGCGCCTTTCCTACTTATTGGAAATCTCGGCGCCTCAGCCTCGATCCGCCCCCTCCGCCAAAAATCTTGCCTGGTCTTCTCCCACCCTCCGCCGTTGTTGACGGCCCTCTTCTTCTTCTTCTTCTTCTTCTGCTGTTGCTGCTGCTGCTGCTGCTCCGCGAGGGATCCTCCTCCACGATCGGCAGTCTGCACGTCGCATCGTCGTCACCAGACGTCGACAACCGTCACCGTCGGCGAGTCGATCATGGCGATCTTCACCGTTTGTCACATATCACGTCTCGTGGTTACCCCGACCTTCTTCCCGTCCTCTTCGCCGTCTCGTCGCCCCTCACCTCGCGTTCTCTTTCTCTCCTTTCTCGTCGAGACACGCTCCGTCCGATCTCTCGCTTCGCACTAACCACGAGCCTCTCCGCGAGTTCTCGGTTACAATTCACCTGAGCGTCAAGTGTGTCAAAGGCCCTCCTACTCCGTCGGCGAGCTCCTCCGTGGAAGGTCATTATCGTCTCTTCTCGGGCTGCAACCGGCCGAGGCTTACGCTTGTACATGCACGCGTTACAAGACCGGCTCCCGCCCGGAGCTTGGCCCGGTGCAGTAGCCTAAGTTTTGGCCGAAGAAAGCCGCCTTCTGGGCCGAGGTCGGTCACGTGTCTGTTGACTTGCTCCCGTTTTGGGACTTCCCCAATAATTAAATAATTAAATATATGAAAAAAAAGAAATATACGAGCTCATATCTGGAAGTGTTTTTTTTTTATCTCAACGTGTTCGAGATCGAAACTGGCGCGACATCTTGATTTGAAGTCTGTGTAATTCGAAATTCGCGTGCGAGGAGAGCCGCCACCTCAGCCGAGATTGAAGAAAAGTGCGAGTATGCAGATTTTGCATGTTTGCGAGATGCTTGGACAAACTTCTAGGGCGTATTTCTCTCGTTAAAATGAAGAAATAAGTTTATATAAATCCATATGAATGGTTGCGAAGTTATAGTAAAATGAAGTTTACATTAACGCGCATTACTACTAAATAATCATAAATAAACATTTAAACCATAACAATCGAGAAACAGACGGTATGCTCAGAACATGTGGTTTGTGCACATTGGAGCACCATCACATTTCAAGTGAGAAATAAGTATATGCTCGAGACAGTGTATGCTTGTAGAAACCTTCATTCTAAACACGTCACTCAAGTTCATTCGTTCATGGAGAATATCAATGCCAAGAGCATATCAGAGCGCGGCCAAGAGTAGCCCAGATTTATGGCCAAAAGATTTTCAAACTATTTTAAGCTTAAAATAAAATTTTATGGTTGTATGCAAGTATCAAAGTTGTCGAATTTTAGATTCCAGAGATACAGCTTATTGAAAATTCCATTTCTACGAGATGATGCCAATGTTCTCCGCGTTGAACTGCAGCCGCGGTTATTGCACTTACTATACGACAATCACATCTTGACTAGACTTGTCACTTGTGACAATAACTGTCAATCAGTAGGTGGTTATAGATTTTTTTACAATATCGAGACCTCAAATTCTAAACCTTGGGTCTGAGGCAGTCTGAGGAATTTTCAATGGACCATATCTCTGGAACCTGAAGACCACTTTGGCACTTGCACATTCATAATGTGCACCATAAATCTTATTTTAAACTTAAAATAACTTCAAAATTTTTTGTTCATGAATCTGGACCAGTAACCTATAAGTACTTGCACTCTTTCAAGTTGTTCGAAAATGCACTCGACTGCTCCTAAACCGGTTTGTTCTATTTTCAACTGTAATATTATCCCAATTTTAACAAAACTTAGCGAAAAATACGTTTGAAAAGGATGATTTTGCAGTTTATTATTTTGCCTTAAAAAGAGGATTTTGCAGTTTCATTTCTACTGTACTGAGATAAATTACCCGATAAAAAGAATTAACAAACGAAGCGATGAAAAAATTATGAACTAATATTTCTCATCGGATACAAAAATTCATCGGTATTTTGATCGGAAATATTTGATTGTTAATTTTTATCAGATAATTTCTCTCAGTATGTTTTTTTCACGAGAAATACATAAATAGAGCACACGGCCAACATAGACCAGGTCTCCCCTACTTGTAAGTCTTTTCTCTTTTAGCATCTTGAGATCGAATCCGGGGCGAGATCCTCGAAACTGCGTCCGCATAGTTCGGAGTTCGCCCTCGGACATAGTTACGCGTGCAGGCATGAGTTAAGAATCAATCGGCCGGTGCGGTTACGCAATAACCTGCTTTACATTTTTCGCAGAGCACCGCGTATTGAACGTGAGATTAGACTTTATGTCGAACGTATGCGCCTCGCCGTACCATCACGCGGTCCCTCGCAGGCTTTTGTAGCAGAGCTAAAGTTAGGATTTAACTCATACATTACATGGTGGAACACGCGTTGTCCGCATTGTACGTAAAAAGGTTAATTATGGTCATCCACTGGCCATCCGTTGTAGCGCGTTTCTTTGTGAGATCACGGTGGTGAGAAACGTCGTGCGCGAGTTAATACACAGCTAAACTGCCTCGCACGCCGCAGTTGACCGTTTATACGGTATTTTACACGAGCGCCTCGATAGAAATCCTGTTTGTCCCTTTTGATCTTACGCCTCGATGTGATGAAAGCCGATGCTCGGCTCCAGTCAGACGATACAAATAAAACGATACAAATAGAAACGCAATATCGAATCATTTCTATGTACAGGTAATGCGTGCAATTTATTACGAGAGCCGTTTGGGACGTTAAGCTCATATAATACGCCCGATAATACGCGGAGTTATGAGTACGTTGACGTGACAAGACTGCATATTTTCGCACGCAATGCGCGCAAGGAACAACTTCTTACATACTTCTAAATGGTGGTTCAGTTATAAGTATAACACTGCGACCAGTAAAGTCTCGATTGGAGCGATCAATTGATAGTGGCGACTGTTCCCATTACTGATGCATTACTTTGCAGACGCATACACTGTCATTGCACACAAGACGCCGTTAATCCTATCGCCGCAAACGCAGAAAGTTGAATTCGATATGGTGTACTTGCATGCTGCAGATTTTGCAGTAAAGTCTCACTTCCACAAATTAAGGTCAAAGGCATAAGACGGGGAAATAAAGTGGAAGTGTTTCTGAAGAAAATCCGTAGATAATTGTTGATTATATGGGTTTACAAAAAAGCAACTTTTTGTCACAAGGATAACATTATATGATCTATATAGTACTTTTTATATTCAATTAGAAAGTGCAAACAAATTTCTTCTATCATCCAGGATTTTCTAGCGATGTTACTTTCAAATTATAAAATGTTGATCAAAGGAATTGAATTCAATATTAAAATGTAGGTAATTAATAATCTATTGTTTCGGGTCGTGGTATGTCTCTTTTAGAAATAAAAAATTAATTTTTATTACGCCAAATTGGAGCAACATCGTATAAAAAGCGAAAAATTATTAATCTTGAATTTTCATGAGCAATATATATGTCATAAAAAAGTTTCACAAAAGTTCTGAGTTTATCTTCGGATTCTGCGCATAAAAATACATAAGAAACTTATTAAAAATTCAATGTGACAAATTATCTGTCTACTAGCCTGATCGGTGAAATATTTCTTTTACTTTTGATGAAAATTTTTTATCAATTCACCTTAAGGAGTCATAAAAACTTGATAGAAATAAAAATTAAATATAATTTAAGGAGTTATATAAAAAATTATACATTAATATAAAAGTATAAATTATTTGTTACATATATTTATCAAGTATATTTAACAATATCTTGGTATAAAAAAATTAGATTTTATGTTGAATATTAACATCACTTGTCTATTTCAATTTCATTCTGTAAAAGAACCATGTTTCAACAGTAATCATGTTAGCTTTAATATAGGAATGATCTGAGTATCAAATTTTCACTATTATTTTTTTAATTCGCCTTATTTTCTTATTCATTAGGTTTATTGATTTTCACGGAGGTTTTAAAGGTAAATTTTAAAACTATTATTTATTTATTTCACAAACTTGAATTTTTCAGTGAAGAGACCAAATTTGATTTTTCATAACTCCTATTTTGCGAAATTATTTTTTTTTCAAAATATTATTTTACTTTTTTCTAAAATCCACCGATAACTATAACCTTGATGAATAAGAAAATGTATTAATATTGATTTTAGATTACTCCTTTTGAGGCCAGGATGTTACCATTAAAGCATGACTTTTTTGCGAAATAGGATTGAAATAGACAATGATGTTAATATTCAAATATACAATCTATTTTATATTCAAATACAAAATCGACTTATATCAAGTTACTGTTAATAGATATACACATA